TTATATGATGATTAAATTTTAATAGGTCATAAAAAGCGATAACAAAATAAAAACGTTGGCTTTAAACATATGTTTGAATTTGTCATATAATTAAACTTAAAGAAAGCAGAAGCTAATAAATCAGAACACCGTTGTGGTACAGCGGTAAGACGCTAAAATCAGGGGTCCGATTCCCCTCGGTGGGCACAGCAGATAGCCCGATGTGGCTTTGTTATAAACAAACACAGAACACCACTTAAACATGTCTTTAAAATTATTATATGGTTGTTGAGCATTAAACACTATTCATTGGAATGTATTATTTAAGTACAGGTTTTGATTCCGTAGTTTAAGTACGGGTTTTGATTCCGTAGTTTGAATTTACCTGTTTGTGTACGGGTTTTGATTCCGTAGTTTGAATTTACCTTATATTGGTTAAACTTGAGACAGCAGTGAGGGAAGTTAATGCCGTTTATGATTGGATTTTAACTAAAAGCAAACAAAGTAACTTTTACTGCTTTTGAATCTGTTTGAAATTCAGTCCGAAATGTGCATCACAGTAATCTGTTACCAAACAGTTAACTAGATAGGTTTGTCACGTAAGCGCCCACTATTAAGTCAATTATAGCCAAGTCATTCAATCGAACTTCCCATATTCTGAACTACAAATAATACAGAATTTTACCGATGTGTGTATTTTCTTCCAATAAAAGTAACTTCAAACTTTTATGATTCATCTTCAGACCATTATATCTTCCCCATTACGTAGATAATGCTTATCTTCATATAATGTTAATACAAATAAAATAATAACAATAAAAAAAACGTGTAATCGGCGCAAGAAAATAAAATACATAAATGTGTCATAAATCTTTACCCTAAAACCTGATTTCTAAATGACTTAAATAAAATTGATAATAATTACAATTTACTTGCTTAATCTAGTTCATGAAATAACATGAAAATTGATGATAAATATAGCACCTAAATAACTGAAATATCTATCGTATCCCAGCCGGCCTGATGAGTTATGGTATTCGACGAAAGGCCTCATCGGCACTGGTTATGGCGGAACTAGTGTGGGTGACATGTTATAATTTACCCCTCTTTGTTTTTACTCATAAGATCTACGAATTATCTGACTAAGGTGGATTTCTGCCGCTTTATCTCAAAGCATTTAAATTCCAGGGTAAAAGTTAAAAAACAGGTTTTATCATCATACACTCATCGTGACCCGTTTCTGGACATTTCTTAATTTATATTGCTGTACACATTATTAATCACCTAGGCCAAGTCGCTCGGGAAACTGTCATGTTCAATTGAAAAATGTTTACAAGAAATGCGACTGTGGATACTGGAGAACGAATGGAAAGCTTGAAAAGTTTTGGAAACACGTTTTAAGTTGACAGTTGATCTTCAAATATTTGCCGTTATACGTTTAACGAGTAGGTATTATAACCGTGTGTATGTAAGACAGCCACTAAGGAAAAAAAATGCGTATTGAAACAGTCGGACGCGAGAGTTGCTTAACCTGTAAAAACAACCTTCTTTCCTGAAATCCCATCCGCCCACTTAGCAAACGTAAGAGCCCATTGACAGCCGTAAAATAAACAATATCAAAGAGATCGTAAATACTTGTCTGCGACTGCCTCGTCCTATGAAGCGTATAAATATTTGCCTGTAAAATTTTAGCGAGAGAGGCACGGGCTGTTTATAAAAGTGGTAAGAAAAACTTGGAGAATAAGAACGAGCGCCGATAAAATAACATGGGCCAACAGTAAAAGGTATTGCATATATATAATTCAGTATGTTTTGAGTTTAAGGTCAGATGGTCTATTTTGTAATTTTTGTCAATTATTTTGTGTCATGTTAAATCTTAGTTGTGGTTTTGTAATGTATGTTAATAAGCATCATGTTCAAAGTTATTTTCCTGATTTAAAACACAAACGTAAATTCTTTCTAAAAAGGTATTTATATAATGCAATAAGTGAATTGTATTTTTTCCTATGTTAAAGTGTTTAAATTGTGATATTGGTGTACTTGTTTGAATTTAAGCACAAAGCTACACAATGGGCTATTTGTGCTTTGCCAACCACGGGTATCGAAACCCTGTTTCT